GGTGACAGATGCAGGAGAGCCAAAGCAGGCTCTCTGATTTGGCCTGTGACATGAGGAAAGAAGGTGACCTCCAAACAGTGTGCAGAGCAAGAGGGGCTTTTTCCTAATGTGTTTTTTCCTTGGCAGCTGAGGACTTTTTCAGTGTGGGCGATGAGAGCAGTTTCTTCTTGCTGAATGAACAGAAATATCAGCCTTTGAGACCATTGGCAAGAACAGAATCCTTCACCCACCTAACCCTCCTGCAAACCCTCCCAAGCCTCTCAGCCAACCCCCACCACAGCACTTGGTGTTGCACTTGGTGACTCACTAAGCATCCCTGTACACCCCACATGAAATCCTTATTTACCCCAGTTCTGTTCACCTGTGGGAACCACCAGTGACCTGAGATTGTGTAAAATATGGTTGTAGCAACTGTATCTTTGCTCTGAGTGTATGACTCCCCTGTTATCTGCCATTTTAAGAGAAGCTGGTCAGTGAGGATGAGAAGGAAATGACTTGTGTTTTCATCACCTGTGTTCTGGTGGCTCACCAGGCAACCACTGCCAAGCAGTGGAGCTGGATAAGGAGTCTGCAGAAATCACTGCTTTGCAAATGGGAGGTGTAGGTGTTCTGCACTTGAGAAGTCAACTTCTAAATGACTTGCTTGGGGCTGTTTTGGTGCATGGTAACAGAATTGCTGCACAAGAACAGTTTTTTGTTTTAACAAGAAAGTAATTGAAGTGGCTGCAGCCCCTTTGAAGTCTTATTTTTAGATTACAATAAGTAAGATTCTTATTAATTTAGCAGCAGGGCATCAGTAACTATTAGTAGCCTAACATGGGGCTCTCATAGATTGATAAGGAGCTAAAGAGCCCCTGAACCACATATTAGCAATCTGGCCATACTGTAATTGAGGCTCATGTTGGGTAATTGTCAGTGTTGTTGATGGGCAACACAACAGCAGCAGCTATTTGTCTTTTAAATGAGAACTTAAATTATTCAGAAAAAGAGTTGATAGTCATCCGTACATCTGAGTCACAGTCCAGTTATTCTAGGCATGGATGACAAGCTTTAATTTAGTTAGTGTAAGCAGAGCACTGGGCTCTGCTTGGGCAGACTCACCTGTGTCTGTAATTTCTCAGGTTGGATCTTCAGCCCATGATGAGATCTGTCTTCTGTGGCCCAACCATTACTGGTGCATGAATAAACTAAGATGCAGCTTGAGTATGATAACCAAGCCAACAGCCAGGAAGAGTTTCACTCAGCATCTGAGCCACTCAAGTTATATGTAATTTTACCTGCCCACCTAAAGAAAAGGTGTAACATGCAATGCTAATGAGTAGCCTTATTTTTACTTATCTATTTTCTTAAGTCTGCCGTGGTTGCAGAAGATTTGAGCACTTCCCAGTGACCTTAATGTTTCTAACTAGTTTTATATGTTGTGGTACATTTTAGCCAAACGAGAGTGAAAGTTTATGAACCATCAAATGTGCAGGAGTCAGTAACCACTGGGTTTCTCCTTCAGTGTCTCCTTGTGGCATCTGTAATTCTGAGCTAGTCCCACAGTGGGACATATCTCAAATTAATTAGTTAAATTGCTACCTAATGGCAACAAGATTTGATGCCACTTCATATTACAGTGCAAACATGGCAAACAGGTTAAGGTATTTAAAGATGATTGGCTTTCCTTTTCTATTGGAGCATCTCAGCTCCTGTCTGGGCCTTCTACAGCACTTGTGCTCAATTAGTTCTGCTGTTAGCAGTGGTCTGATTTGCTATTAGGTCTGATAAAACATCTCCATAGCCCTCCCCTTCGGTGATGATCATCCTGTGGTAAGGACACTGAAATGCAGTGTAAAGGGGGAGGGAGGGCAAACAGACTGGGTTTTGCATGTAATTATGTCATTAACGATGGGAGGCTTCAATTACAGTGTGGAGTTGATCAGCTCCAGTGGTAGCTTGCAGCCTGTGGTGGTGTGGGTCTGTGCTTATGTGTGCAGCACAGGAGAGAAGGGCTGTGAAGGGGCTCAGGGTGGAAGGTGCCGATTCTTCTGAGCACCCTGTGCCTGAGAAGCCCCCAAGTCTTCTCAACACGCCTCTTGGGTTTCCCTTTCTTTCCCCCTTTCTTTCCGCCCGCCCTCTCCCCCCACCCTCCCTGTGCAGCAAGCCTTCTGGCTTTGTTGTAAGTGTGGTTTGTAATCATTGTACACAGCCCAGATGGTTCATGAAAACTCTTTGAAATGCCATCTGCCAGGCGTGTGTCCAGCCGGCAGCCTGTCCTCCTGCTGCCAGGAGGAGGGAGGCAGCTTCTCCCTTCCCCCTGCCGGGCTGGTTTACACGCAGCATCGCCGCTCCGGTGTGAAGCCGGAGCAGCCTTGGCTCTAGGCAGCAAGTTGTTTGGTTCTTCTCCTTCACCCAGATAAGATATCCTAACCAGTGTTGTTTTTCTTTCCCCTGGGTTTGTTGCTGGAGAGGGAGAGGAGGTGACAAATGTTATCTCTGCGATGTGAAGTTGTGCTTTTATTTGACGACCTGGCGTTCGGGGGGTGTTGCAGGCAAAGGGGGGGCTGGTAGCAGGAGCATCTGCTACTTCTCCACTTGAACATACTCAGGAAATTAAGAACACGGAGATGAAACAAATAGATCCATTAAGTTGGCTCAGAGGAATTATGGCAGAGATATAATTGTCACGTCAAGCAGGCAGGCAGCACGAGGAAATTGCTGACTGCAATTTCACCCAGATAAACATTCAGAAGGGGAAAAAAAAATGATTAATAAATGCTCTCTATGAGAAGATACAGATAAAGAAAAACAGAGGGCTTTAAAAGATAAAGTAAAATGAATCCTGAAGTTCCCTCGTCTTTGCGTCTCGTCAATGTTTGTTGTGAGTTGCTGAGAAAAAGTACATCCTGGTCTTTGCAGAATGGCTCGGGGTGATGTTTGGAGCTCTCCAGAAGTCTGGTTCTCACTTCTGTTGGGCTCCAAGCATGGGACAGCTCCAGCAGGTCCTTGGACATACTTCTTGCTGAAGCTTTTTGTTCTTCCTCCTTACCTCTTGATGTCAGGGAGCCTGGCAGACGTCAAAAGCAATGATGCCTGAACATCCACAGCGGTGCTGGTGCTCAGGAAGGAGGTGATCTGTCCAAGCTATGCCCCTCCATCCTGAGTGCCTGCATGCTCCTTGCACGGCAGGGAGAGACCTGCAGGGGCATTTCCCACTCAGTCTCACTGCTTGCCTTAAAATGGAAATGCAGATGCTCGGGCAGAGAGAGGCATGTGGTGCAGTTCTAATGTTCCTTTGGCGTAGATCTGTGAAGGACATCTCTCCTCTGCTAGAACCTACTTGGTTAAAGTCATTGCAGTCTTACTGTATGGATTCAAGACCACAACGATTGCAGAATTGAATCCTTTGAACTAGGAAAGAGTAATTCTGCTAGTAGGGTGAAGATATCCATCATTTCCATCCCCTTTTTTGCTTTTCCTCTTCTTGCCTTCACCCAGCTCCCAGACAAGGAATGGTAGAAAAAGCACAGGAATTTGTAGACTATCTGAAGGCTGGTGGTAAACAATTAAAAAAGAGAGAATTTCTATTTTTGAAACAAGAAATGGAGGGTGTTGGAGAAAGTGGGTGTCTACCAAGGAAATTAATCTGGTGATAGTCTTTCAAGGGTGTCACTGTCAAGACTGAACAGTCTCTCAGATGAATGGGGCATAAGCAGACTTTCCGCTTCCTTGGCACTTGAGGAGAACATTTGCCAGATGCAGGCATGGTAAATTTGTGCTCCTTCAACTTCTGAGAGCTGGAATTTTCCCATTTAATTTCCAGAGGCTCAGCTTCATACTTTCTTCAGTCCTTTTATATCGTGTTTAAGAAATTGTATGCGTTAAGGAGGCACTGCCCAGGGGCAGAAGGGTCCCTCAGAAATGAGAAATCATGCTTCATGAAATGTTAGGTGTGGTTTCCACATCTCCAAAGTTATTCCCAAGCTGGTAGATGGGTTTTAGCCACAGCACTCAGACACCTCTGACACTCTAATGCTGCTCTTTCTTCTAAAGTTCAGTTTCTTGTACCATCTGTAAATCTGACATTTATATTTGGTCCCATATGTACAGAATCCAGCCATCTCCTGGCCTCCAAAGGCATGGAAAATAAAGGCTATTGAATAGAAATTGATCCTTATCAATTAAGCTGTGCTCAGTGACCTAAAATGCAGTGGCCCAAGCCATCTTAGCAAAAAGTCATGAAATGATTCATCTTACACCAATGCTTCAAAGGGCTGTACATTTGTCAGAAGGGAGAAACAGTGATCAGAGCCCATTTTCCGTGGGTACTATTTAAATGACCAAAGGAGATTGAGTGTGAATTATTACTCAAAAAGTAATTCTTGAACTGGAAGGAGCTTATAAGTGAACTTCTGTGAGAAGAGTTTGCAGGTTGACTTTTTAGTGGGCGTATGTGAATGGTGCATCAGAGCTGTCTCATGGTAGTTTTTAATGCTGAATTAAAAATAACAGCTTAAGTAAAGATAAAATATTATGAAAAAAAAGGATGGACAAAAGATATTTATGATGTGAAAATATATTTGGGGAGATAAAGTGATACAGAAATAATGGAAGTTAGAAAGAAGTTACCTTATCTGAGAATACAGATTGCATTTTAGTATCTCATATCTCACATCTCTTGACCATGCTAATCACAGGAAGGTAATTGCTGGCATATTCTCAGATACTGTGTTTCTGCATGTGATAGGAGAGATTTATTTGCCAGAGAGTCTTTTGGGGAATACTAAAAACATTGTTGGGTGGAACAAGTGGTACTGCCAGCTCGACCTGGAATTTATATCTTGGCTTGTTTTAATCTGGGCTCCAACCTTCTAACTGAACTCTTGACACTGCTCTCTGTGTAGCTCCCTGAATTGTATTTTACAGGTTCCATTGGGTCTTTATCATAATTTTTAATTTGCCTTTTTAACTCTTGATAAAAAACCCAACCATATTCACGTGGTAATTTTTCCTTTCAGGCACAACCCGCCCTCCAAGAGAAGGAGAAGTGCCTGGTGTGGACTATAACTTCCTGACTGTGGAGGAGTTTCTGGAGTTGGAGCGAAGTGGGACCCTTCTGGAAGTAGGAACTTACGAAGGTAGGGAGCCATGGGCAGTGAAAAAGCACTCTGAAGAATCATGGTAGCACACCAGACTTGCATCCATCACCCTTGCTGGAGTTAACCAGCTTGAGTTAAGACCTCACTTTCTGTCCTAATCCGCTGCTTCTCTTTTCTCTGAGTAGCCTGAGAGAGGGAATTCTGATATTGCTGTGCTTTTGTCTTTTCCCTTCAAGTTAACTTCCTCCAAACATGAACACCAGTAGGCCAGGAAAATCCAGTATGAAATCCAGTAAAAAAACACTGAGGGAAAACAGTGTGGCAGTGAATGAAAATGCATCTTGTCATTGTATCTGCTGTAGCCCAGCTCCTTGCTCACTTTTTCTTCCCTCCTGCTCTCTCTTTCC